CCCCAAAACCCCAAAACCCCAAAACCCCAAAACCCCAAAACCCCAAAACCCCTAAGAATGCCTTTAAAATTGATATAATAAATATTAGAAAATATTTGAAATAAAAGAAATGGAGAGTGAGAAAACAATGGACCATGAAATACCTCAAACCGAACCTGGTTCTACTATTCCAGAATCATCTTCGAGCTTACCAGGTGAGGAAGAAGTTAAAAAGGAGCCTGAAACTGATACGAAGTACTCTGCGAAGAAGAAGACAGTTGGGAAATATAATTTCTCCTTCGTCACTGTTTCACCTAAGTAAGTCCTAAAAGCCTATAAATACCTATTCTGTAATCTACATTGGAGTCAAAATTTCTAGATGTGCTAATTTCTGGTTGTTATGCTTCCAACTTGCTGTATATGCCACACCTCAGAATTTAGCTAGAAATATGTTTGCTATACGTCTTCTGTATTATCCAAAATAATATGTAATTTCGATATTGTTTGCAAGATTTTCATATAAGATGTCACTTTATATTTACATACCATAAAGTGTACTAGATAGATTTTTGAGATTCGATTAAGAGTGAAGATTTTAGCATACCTTCTCAACGCTCTTAGGGAAATAAATTGAGCCAATATATTAGGAAGATTATTAAGCAATATGTCATTATCTAAGAAGATACCTGGTATAGCTTAACCTATCCAGGAATTCGTATAGTCTAAATTCTACAAGAGACTGATTCCTCTACTGAATTTCAACAATGAGGGAATGATAGAGATTAATGAATAGAAGGAAAGTAATCTAGACTCCTTGTTTCTTATCTTGGTATTAGCTTATTTAACAACTTGATGATAGATTTAGCTCATTTATTGTAATTATGCTAGAGATTTCTATAATTTTAGAGTTTAGAATGACTTATCCTTAGTATGCTTCCTTTCTCCGTCATAACTTTTTTCTCAATAAGTGTAAAAATTCCTTCTTTCTAATTTTCTAAGAAAATAAAATCAGCTCAGGCAATTTCTAATTGCCCGATTAGAAGTAAAAGGCTTAAGTTGTAGGAAGAACAAAAAGGGTATTAACAATAAAATTTTCAATTTTCACCTCAAAAATCGACATCTCCCAGCCAACCGCCCCTTCTAAGTCACCTATCCCTATCAAACACCCTCAAAACCCACCTCTTTTTACCTCCATGACATCTCTTCTCTCTTCCCCACCTCAGTTCACCCAAATTCCTTTTCTTCCTCACCCAAAATTCCTTCTTGATCCAGTCCAAGACGCTTAGAACCCACTTTGGTGCTGAACAAGCGGGATTTTCACATAAAATCCCGTACAAAAATTTCTGAGGATTTTAGACCCAGTGGCTGGGTGGGCTAAGAGGGGTTATTGGACTTTGGGGGATCCCTTGCTTGAAGTGGTTCTGAGTTTTGAGATTTTTGGGATTTTTGGTGTATTGTAGGGATTTAGAGCATTTTTTTAGAGATTAAGGTAATTTTAAGCCAATTTTTTATTTACTGTATTTTGTCTGTCAGATTTGTTGACTATTTGTTCTCTCAAAAGACTAGATTCTTTGAAAATTGTGTAGAGATTAAACATAGTTGTTATTCATTGAAAAGATATGAACTTATCAAAATTTTCTCATAAATCTATTGAAAAATATCATTCGATTCATTCTTAGAGATAAATATCAAAAATTTAAGTAAATATTGAAGCTTTGCTTGTATTTTGGGTCACATAAAGCCCAAATGGAGAGAAAACTTTATCATAAATAAAATAGCCTTGATTTTCACTCCAACATATGACTATACCAAAATAGAGTTGTTTAAAAATTATTTCTGTACACTTCTTGAATTCATCAACTTAGTTCCCTAATTTTTACTCTAAATAGGAAAAAGAACACAGTTGAACCCTTAATGATCCAGAAATTGAAATAAAATTCAAGCTGAATCGATCAGAAGCTGGAATGGAATGGAGACTAATCTCATTGGAAAGCCAGGGAATGTCAACTTTCTAGGCTCTGGCAAGAGAAAGAGCACCAAAGCTGATGAATACCTGGAAATGGAAAGCAAAAGACTGGCTAGAATTGCTAAAGGAATAGTCAAGCTAAAACATCTTGAAGATGAAAAACTTGGTATAATGGGCCTTGGATCGAAGCAAACCCAGGATATTATTAACTTCAAGTTGATTAAAGAGAGCCAAATATTGAAGGATGGTCCTCCTGCAATCACATTCTCTAAAAATTCGTATATGGACCAAGGTGATTTATTATATAAGGTACTCAAAGCCGAGGCTAGGCTTATCAGATCCGTTCTTGAAGTCCATGGGTTTAACCATACTGATGGACACGATTGGAACATTCTCTGGACTTGTACCTCTTGTAAGCCATATCTATATGAAGGACTGAATGAAAATCAGAAGATAAACCACTTTCCTCAAAGTTCTGAACTCACCAGAAAAGACAATTTGTGTGTGAATGTTGTAGCAATGCAAGAAAAGTTTGGAAGTGAGAACTTTGACATCATACCAGATACTTACATTCTCCCTGATGAATTTGCTGATTTTCATTCACATTTTCACAAAATCCAGTCCACACTAAAGAAGGGTGAGAAGAACTTATGGATAGTAAAGCCTTCTGCTTCAAGCAAAGGAAGAGGAATCTACCTGATTGATAATACTTCAGAAGCCCCTATTAAGGAAAACTGCGTTATCAGTAAATATATCAATAATCCTTTCTTGATCAACGGACTCAAGTTTGATATAAGAATCTATGTCTTGGTTACTTGAGTTGATCCTTGGAGAATATATGTCTACAAAGAAGGCCTTGCAAGATTTGCAACAGAAGCATATTGCGAGGATGGCAGCAAAAGCAATCGATTTGTCCATCTTACAAATTACTCAATCAATAAAAAGAGTGAGAAGTATGTGCATAGCACTAATCTTGAATCGGACGATGAAGGTAGTAAATGGTCTCTGTCTGCTCTCATGAAGTATCTTGAGAGTTTAGGCATCGATAGTAACCTTCTCTGGTCCAGGATTTATGACTTGATCATCAAATCATTCCTTTGAGTTGATTCCCATATTTATACAGCAATAAAGAAAATCCAAGGATACAAAAATAACTGCTTTGAGCTATACGGATTTGATGTTATGCTCGATTCTGATCTAAAACCTTGGATTCTTGAAGCAAATTTATCTCCTTCTCTTGCAACTGAATCTCCACTTGATTTATCTATCAAAACAAATCTGATTACTGATACCTTCAACCTGATAGGAATCAAAAGGATGGATAGAAGAAGAGATAATTACAATAAAATAAAGCAGAGATTTAAAAATTTTAAGCCAAAGCAGAATCAAACCAGAGGGTTATCTTCTTCCAAAAACCCGAATAACTCCCGTATGGACTCTTTCAAGACATCAGAGGCACAAGAGTATTGTGACAAGAACAGGTTGTTCTGTGAGAAGTTGTCTACTATTAGCCAGAAGAACAGGAATATGATAAAGGATACCATATTTGAGGATCTTCGGAAAGGAAATTTCATCAGAATTTACCCTAACAAGAACAGTGACATCTACGATCAATATTTTATCACACCAAGAAATACGAACAAGATTTTATACAAGTACTTGTTTACAGATGAGTTGATCCAGTGGGAACTTCCAAAGAACTTTTCATTCTCGTCATTCAGCAAAGATGATAAATTATACAAAACAACTGCGGCAAGGAAATCAAAGACCAGTAATCTGGACTATGAAGATACTCCTTCTTCAAAGAAACTTCCTGCTGTAAGTAGGTCGAAGATTAAGGGGATATCTGAAGCAAAGGTTTCAGGAAGCTACAATACTGTCAGTTCTCCTCCAGCCCCTGATATCGACACCCAGAATTCAGAGAAGCTAATGATCACCGGCGATGACGTGTTGATTGAGTACGTCGCAAGACTCATGATAGCTATTAAAAGTATCAGAGAGAAACTCCTAAGACAATCCTGGAAGCACTGCATCAATAAGTTCATCACTCATTATGTCTGGCATACAAGCGACACAAGAAGGAGAGAGAATAATAAGCTTTGGCAAAGATTAGAGAGCAGACTCATTGAGATGAAAGAGAGACGCAAAAGGTACTAAATTACTCTAATTTGTCCATTTAGACTCCTCAGGTCATTATACAAGAAGGAATTCCCTGGAACTGTGGGTAAGAAGAACAAAGAAGAAGTTAACGCAGCATTTGAAAAAGAATACGAAATCAAAGAGCAACAAAAGAACGTTATCATCCAAGCACTAAGTGCACGAGAGTTAGAAGAAATGCTGAGAAAATCGACTAAGAATGTTGCACATGAAGTGGTTTCTTGTCTTGTTGAGTCTACTAGTCGAGGAGTTCTCACTGATATCATTCGTTGGTTGACTACCTCCCAACAGAACATGCTTAACGATCACCTATCGATTCTGGATTCTTCAGACATAATGAAAACCTCAAATTTCCAGAATGATGAAGAGGAGCCTGAGGACTCTGAAGATATGGAGAGTTTCTACAATACGAAATCGTCTATGAACACATCAGGGATTAGAATAAAGGTGCGAAAGAGTTCGGTAGACCCTCACTCTAAGAAGAAAAAGCTGGACTATAAATAATTCTTCAAATTCCTAAAATTGCTGCTAGAGCAACCAGAGGGGACGCTAGCAATTCGAAGCTAAATGAGGATATTGAAATAGAAACAGAGAATGTTAGGGCTGGATCCCCTCTGAATTACGTTAGGGACAAGAAACGCAAAAATCGCAGAGCTAATAAGGACCATAGTGGATCAGAGTCATCTAAGAATAATGTCATTGTAGTGCAACCTGTGGAAAAAGAATAGATTAAAATATGGAAGAAGATTTTGCTTTATTTTTTCTTATTTTCAAGAACGGTGAAAAGGAGAGGGGTTTTGGGGTTTTGGGGTTTTGGGGTTTTGGGGTTTTGGGG